ATCCACGGTGCATGCCACGAACACGGAGTAAGGGTGCGCGAGTCGGCACGTTAGCGCGAGCTTTCAGTGGTTAGCCTGTATTTGTAAACAAAGCGTAAACACGCAGACGAGAGCGAAACTGATGAGCTAGTGTGAAAGATTATACTTTGCACACGCAAAGGTCAGCTGGTGGGACGATTCAGGTCCAGGAAGTGAAATGTTTTACTTACAGACTTCAAGTCTGGCCCTGCTTATGCATCCTCTCAGGTTTAGCACATGTTGGGTGTATTGATTGAAGTATTGCTGCCACGTTATCGTTAATCTCCAAGTTTACGTTAAATGTATTAATTCTTTGTGTGGTGGTGTGTTTGAGTTTGAAATTGAGTTGAGGAAATATTCAAATCCCCAACTAGTGGAAAAGTCCTCTAACTCAGGCCTGAAATTCATATTTAAAAAGGAAACAGTTGGGGTTTCCGCTTTAATTGTTTCCTACAGACGATTTTATGCACTTGGTAAGATCAGGGCTGGACACGCACAGTGAACATACACGGAGCAAAGTAATACTTAAAAAAATGTCACAGTCCATATATTCTGTGGTCAGAAGTTCACACCCACCCATGAATGTCATGATAATTTTAGGCGTTTGATGATTTCTTTGAACTGTGGAATCTTTGCACCGCTTACATCTTTAATGGCTTTAAAAAACGAGAATTGGGTGCACAATTTGGATTAGCAAGCTTCCTCATAATTCAGGATGGATATCCTCTTGGCAGAATTGGTCGTTTCTTTGAACTCGAGAAAGGCCTTAAGAAGACCAGAAGCTCAGTGTTCACCTGCTTTATCTCATAAAAAGCAGCTCTTGTCCTGCTGGAACACCTGACTGTCTATGTTTCAACCACCTAGATGTTTATTTAAGGTGAAGATTTTTGAGGTAGTTCTCTTCTTCTTTATTCCTTAATGTGTAATGTTACTAGTACCACTCACAGCTAAACAGCCCCAGGGTGTGATGCTACCACCGTACAGTTGCTCTGTGTTCTTAGGTTTGAGTGGTTTTCTTTTTTGCTGAGAGAAGTTCAGGAGTTCACACTATTTTATTATCAGGCAGTTAAAGGTTTGGGTTGCACAGCTGTGGACGTCTCAGTCTGCTTACAGAGAAGAATTTATTAGACGCATGAAAACAGAACATATTTGTGTTTGGTTATTGATGGGGAGATGCTGTGGTTTAGACTTAGTGCTTGCTGATTTGTTCTCCTCGTCGTCCATCCACTTGGCCACAGCGGAATTAACCTCAAGTCAGGGATCTTGTCCTGTATAAGAAAACCCATCCCCACCTTATAAATGTTACCAGAGATATTTTATCTTCATGCTGACGTCAGCTTTAAGTGACACAATGAAGTCTTTATTTCTGTTTGACACACAAGGCCAAGCAGCCGTCTCGTCTGAAACCGTTCTGTAGCAGTTTACCTTCAACACCCAACTCTATCTAACCCTTCACAACGTGGGGTTAGTGCTTCTATCTTTTTAATGAGAAGTGTATCAACTCTATTATGAGCATATATTGCAATTAATGTTAAAAAAAAAGCCTCCTCTCATTGAGGCCAAAACATTTTGTGTTGTCTGAAAATAAAATTCTCCAGAAGGTATTTGGCTTGTCCATGTGGACATCTGTAGATTTCAGATCAGCTTGAAGGAGTTTGATTTGGAGGCTTATTTCTTCTTTCTCACCCTCTCAGTCCATGGTGATATAAAACTGGTTTCACTGGTGTTGTTTCCAGCTCTTGGTGGTTCCCAAACATCCTAACTGAGAACATCATCTGAGGGTCACATCATGGGGCTTCTAGACCAAAAGTGTTTGAACTGATGATCTTTGAATCTGCATTTGTTTAGAAATGAGATCTTTCCACCCTTTCCCTCAGGATGAATAAAGTATTATCAATCAATCAATCAATAAAAGATTAAGGTAGTGTGTGTATGTTTGACCCTGTGTGGAGAGAGTCCAAAATGAATTCAAACTTGTGCATCCAGTTCTTGTTTTATTTAAGTTATTAAAGATGGATGTACGGTCATTTCACCCTGGAGAAAGAGTGGATTCAATAATTCATTAAAAACCCCAAACGACCATCACATTCATGCTAATGAGTGTTTGTAATCTTCTGACTACAACGTATGTCACAGCTGTGTGGGGTTACTACAGGCTGAAGAACAGCTCGAATCAACATCTGTTCATTTACTCGCACTCTTACCCACATTTACCTCCTTAAATGAAACACGGTAAAGTGTGTGAAGCAGCTGCTGTGGTCTAAATGGTCTGCTTGTCTTTCAGTGTTTGATTCCTGTTGTGCGACCAAGCTCTGAAACAACAGGATGCCGGGAAAAAACGGCGACCAGTTCAAACCCGGAGACCTGGTGTTCGCCAAGATGAAGGGCTTCCCTCACTGGCCGGCGAGGGTGCGCTCACACCTCAGCTGTAAATAGCTGCATGCAGCTGTTTGTGTGTACGCGCTTTAACTCTTCTTCTGTGTTTTACAGATCTGTAAGTCGGACGAGGGGTACAAGAAGCGAGTCCCCGTCTTCTTTTTCGGCACCCATCAGATGTACGTACGTGCAGCTGCAGATCGATCGTATCATTTTCTGAGCAGCATTGATCGAACTGTGATTAATCTCCCCTCCCCAGAGGCTTCCTGCCGCCGGAGAACATCGTCCCTTATGTGGGAAACAAGACGAAGTATGGCAGCGGCGTTCGCATCAAAGGCTTCACCGAGGGCATGTGGGAGATCCAGAACACGCCTGGAGTCGGGAGTAAACTCAAAGTCAGTCTCTCTTTAAAGATCACTCATCAGTTGCAATGAAAATGCTACGTAATCGCTTCAGTTCATTTCTATGTAATTGAATGGTTATGAATGAACTGCTAAAAGCATTTTCTAATGATGTGTTTGTAATATTTCTGACGCACTGCTTAAAAAAAGCTTATATAGCTTTAAAATTATATTTGTGATGATGTATCTGGTATATAAAAATACTGAACAGTGTTTTATTGATGCTTTCATTGATGCTGCCGCTTTTATTAATGTCAGTGAATTCAGGGCATTTTCCACCTTCTCCAGTTAGCTGCTGTGATTGATCAGACACTCTTACATCACCTAAACAATTATATTGGGTGATTTGATGTGGCACAGCTTTACTTCAGTAGTATCAGTCTGTCCAGTTGGGTCAGATCATCACCTGAAGTGACAGGTCCGACAGTGAGGGCAGGTTCTCTTCACAGATGTGAGCAGGTTCAGGATGACCTCATGTGACAGACATGAAAGAGTAAATGTTTCACGTGCAGCATCGTCTCAACTAGTTACATTTGTTTTGGAAGCTGACCAATCAGAACAGACTAGGGTCAAAGGCATGGATAAGGGGCTTTAAAGGCTATTTCCAACATATTTCTCACACTGCTGGCACCTCTGCTTCGTAAATGTTTATAGCCCATGAGTGAGGCATGTTTCGGTTCTAATAAAGGTTCTTCGTTCTATCTTCTGTTCAGGTACCGGGGAAGACAAACACAGAAAGTACACCAGCAAAACCGGCTTCTGCAACCAAAGCTACTCCAGCTAAACCAACCCCAGCACCTAAAGCTACACCTGCCAAATCACCCAAGGCTACACCTGCCAAGCCCGCACCAGCGACCAAATCTACACCCTCTAAACCGACGTCTGCTGCTAAAAGTCCAACTCCAAGCGCTGTCACTAAATCTTCCCCCAGCAGATCCGAGTCGGCCAGTAAAGCGGCCGCCGACAGGCGGCGCACAGGAGGCGAAAAGGAAGCTGCTGTTAAAACTCCCACACGAGTTTCATCAAGATTGGCTGCAGAGCAAAGTGAGGAGTCCAAGCAGGCTTCCACCCCTGCTGCAGACACTGCAGAGACCATTGCGACTGCTCGAACCAGAAGGTCGGCAAGCGGCGGTCCATCTGCAGGAGGGAGTGCAGGTGAACGCACCGCCTTGGCCAAGACAGACAAAGAGGTGAGAGGTTAAATGTTTTAAAGCTGTGGGGCTGTTCCATTTGGGGAGAGGGCCTCTGGACTGGCAGTGGTTCTGGGGTCTCTCAGCCTCCCTGCAACAACTATACCAGGGGGCTGGAGATGGCGCCTGTCAGTCAGACAGTGAGGGTTACCATCCTGGTTGTGGAGCACTGGACCCACTCTCTATGTGCTCTGTGAACTTGGAAAAATCACATCCTCAGAGTGTGCTGCAGGGAGGGATTTAGAAGGATTAAGCTCCTTGTTGTGTGCTGGTGTTTCACTGTCTGTTGTGAGATTGAACTTGAAAGCTGCAAAGTGAGGGAAAAAAAATATATAAATTATATATAATTTTTTTATATATAATTTATATATTTTTTATATATATTTTTTCTTTCTTTTTTGGGGGGGGGAATTCAGAAGCACGGAGGAGTTGTCTGCAGAGGAGGGGATGTGGGAAACTTGAGACATAAACACGAGTACAATAGTTTCATCTTCTTAATGTTTATCCCATCCATGTGTCTGTCTCAACGGGTGGTGCTGTGGAGTAGTTGGATGTCACAGATTAAACATTTTCATGGAGATTTGAGCACATTTCTGCATCTGTAGATCACAGATAATGACGTGGACCTACAGTGGAGAGAGAATAAAGGTTTTGCTTGATATTGTTTTTTTGGCTTTGCACCTGCCACACGTCTGTGGATATTTTCCTGTTTTCTGGATATATAGATTGGTAAAGCAGGGCGACGGAGATCCGTCTCTGTGTGCTCGAAATTGAAGGATTGAATTGAAGGATTGAATTGAAGCTTGAAGCTCCCGTGCAGAAGCTTCCAAAGCACCAACAAATCTGTGTGGACGACGGTCTCGGGCTCACGTCACCGCCTTTGAAGGCTTTTTCCAGTTTTTCCTGCAACAGGAAAAAAGTGTCGGGTTCATTCTGCTCTAACACACCTTCATGAGAACACCAGCAATCCATGGCTCGCCTCATCCTCTAGTTTATGGAAGAAACTGGAGCTTCTTCTTTTATTAGAGCTCAGTGGGGAAGAGCATGGTGAACTGTTGACATTAAATGCTTACAAATAAACTTTTGTTTCTTCTTTTTCTTCTTTTTCTCAGACAGGAGCGGTCAAAGCTTCAGTGGGTGAAACCACAGCGAGTAAAGAAAAGGCTAAAAGCACAACTGAAGCAGAACCCAGACAGGCTGAAGCCTCCAAAGAAGCTGCAAGTGAGGTGACGACCAGGAGCCGAGCAGAAGAGCCGAAGCTGAACACACATGGAGTGATGCTGCCCATTGTAAGTTTAAATGAGCCATTAATAACTTGTGTTATTCAACAGCTCAACACTGTTCAAAGAAAAGCCTTCAGTTCTTTCTTTGATTAAAATGTAAGATTTAATCTAAAAGCTCAATTCAGACCCTCTGCTAATCTGATGCGTTGCTAAGCAACAGAGACACATGTTAAACTTCTTTTTCTCATTTTGTCTTTTCAGCTTTTGAATAAAGTTTCATGTTTTCCTCGTCTCCGTCAGATCAATGTGAAGCTGCAGAAGATGGAACCTGCTCTGATGACGACCGGTGGAAGGAGGGAGGAGAAGGAGGAGGAGGAAAAGAAAGAGAGCAGAGACTTCAAGCGCCGAAATGAAGAGAAGGTGGAGAAGAAGGAGGAGGAAAAGGAAGACAGCAGAAAAGTAAAGCGCCGAAATGAAGAGAAGGTGGAGAAGAAGGAGGAGGAAAAGGAAGACAGCAGAAGAGTAAGGACAAGGAGAGATGAGAGGGAGGAGCAGAAGAAAGAGGGCCGAGGAGTGAAGAGGAGGAAGGAGGAGGAGGACCAGAAGAAGGTGGATGAGGGGAAGGAGAAGGAAGATGACAAAGGAGTCAAGAAGAGAAGAGAGAAGAAAAACGATGAGGAGGTGGTCCAGAGGAAAACGAATGAGAAAGAGGAAGGAGAAAAAGAAGAGGTCCGAGGAGTCAAGAGGAAGAGCGAAGGGGAGGTGCAGAAGGAAAGTCAGGACAGCAGCGAGGAAAAGGCAACGATGGAGAGACGATCATCAAAAAGACACAAGGAACAGGAAAAGGGAACAGAGGAGGAAGGAGTAAAGACGAGTCCAGCTGAGAAGGAGGAGGAGGAGAGTAAGAAAGAGGAGAAGCAGAAGAGAGACAGGAGCACAGAGGGCAAAGAAACAAGGAGGATGAAAGAAAAAGAGGTGGAGAAGAAAGCGAGGAAGGATATTTCAGAGGAAAAGAAAGATGTGAAGAGTAAGGAGGTGGAGGAAGAGGGGGAGAAGAGGAGAGACAGGAGGCTGGAGGCCAGAGAAATGAGAAGGACGAAAGATAAGGAGGAGCAGCAGAAAACGAGAAATGACACATCAGAAGAAAAAAATTTAAGAACAGAGGAGGAGGAGAAGGTGGTTGAAAAGGAGAAAATAAGTAGGGACACCAGTGAGGCCCGAGAAACGAGGAGGACAAGAGAAAAGGAGGCGCTTCGGAAGATGAGGACGGGTGCTTCACAGAAAAGGAAAGATTTAGGAAGAGAAAAGGCGGCGAAGAAGTTGGAAGAGGAGAAGACAAGGAGAGAAAGGAGCACAGAGGCCCGAGAAACGAGGAAAACGAGAGAAAAGGAGGTGCAGCAGAAAACGAGAAACGATCATTCAGAAGAAAAAGATTTAGGAAGAGAGAAGGAGGAGCAGAAGGTGGAAGAGGAGACGACAAGGAAAGACACCAGCCCGGAGCCCAATGAAATGAGGAGGACGAGAGAAAAGGAGGCACTTCAGAAGATGAGGAAGGATGATTCAGATGAAAGGAAACAGTCAAGAAGAGAGAAGGAGGTGAAGAAGGCGCAGCAGAAGGCGAGGAAGGATGTTATAGAAGCAAAGAAAGATTTAAGAAGAGAAGAGGAGCAGAAGAAAAAGGTGGAAGAGGAGAAGAGGGAGAGGAGATCTGAGGGAGAGAAGCAGAAGGAGAAAACTGAGAGGGAGAAAAGAGGAGGTGCTGCTCCAGACGATGAGGTAGAGTCTGTCTTCATTAAGGAAATGTTTTAAATTGAAGAGAAGGATGAAAACGTCTCAACATTTCTCCTGCAGCGACAGCGCCACCTGGCCGCCAAGAGGGAGAGCGTGTTAAAGTCTCTGAGGGGTCTGCTGAAGGCCGGGAGAGGAGGGAGGAGGAGGGAGGCAACGAGGAGCGCTCTGTAAGAGGAAGGGAAAAAAATGATACGGTAAAATCAGTCAGGAGTTTAAACCTCTGTCTGTTTTCTCATCAGGAGAGGCGGCGACGGAGCGAAGAGGAGGAGGACAGGAAGCCCGACAAGGTCAGAGTGGAGGAGTGCGAAGGAGTCAGCCGCAGCCAAGAAAACATCAGAGAAGAAGGAGGAAGGAGCCAAGAAGGGGAACGGCAGGACATCGCAGAAGATGCAGGTAGAAGAAAAGTTGGAGAAAAGTCGAGATGTGGAGCTGAAGACAAAGGAAAAGGAGGAGGAGAAGAAGACTGATGAAGAAAAGAAGGAGGAGAGAAAAATAATTGGAAAGATCGTCAAGGCAACAGCCGGGCAGGGTCCGAAGGTCCAGGTGAAGACGATGATGGGAGGAATGACCGTGAGGGAAGACGAGAAGGTGGGAGGAACATCTGCAAAGGAGGGGGAGAAGAAGAAAGAGGAGAAGGTGGAAAAGAAAAGAAGTTTGGAGAAGGAGAAAAAGAAGGGCGCTGACGAAAAAGAGAAGTCGGATGATGGGAGCTCGAAGAAAAGCATCGAGGTCCAGATGAAATCTGAAAGAACTCAAGCGGAGGAGAAAAAAGCCAAGAGCGTGACGGAGGCTGCGAAGAAAAACGAGGAGCGCAAGGAGGAGGGGGAAGCAGCAGCAAGAAGAAAAGAACAGGAGGGTGAAGAAAAGAAGAAGGACGAGGCGGAGAAACCAAAAAAGGCGGAAAATGCAGAAAAACACGAAACGCAAAAAACAACGGGCGAGAAGAAATGCGAAGGCGCGGAGCCGGGCGGGCAGAGGAAGACCGGCGAGGAGAAGGAAAGTGACGGAGCGAGCCGACCCGAGACGTCAGCAGCAGTGGAGAAGAGCGCTGGAGGAGAAGGTAACCCGGTAAAGGAGCAGCAGAAGAAGCGCTCGATGGTGACGCTGACGGACTCGACGCTGCACCGGATCCACGGAGACATCCGGATCTCTCTGAAGAACGACAATCCCGTAAGAGCCGAAACTTAAACTGGCTGCAGATTAACGACGGCACAAAATGTAAAACCGTTCACAGTGATTTTATAAAAAGTGAGCCGACATTAGATCATTTTTATGATTCTCACTGCTTTAGCTATCAGGAGCTACATCGCCCCCTTGTGGCCAGAAAATCTAAATGCAGCTTTAATATTTCAAAAACGCTGCATGCTTACTGAAACTGAACGACGCGACTAATGTGCTTCATCCTCAGGACATCAGCAAGTGTCTGGCGGCGCTGAATCAGCTCAGTATGGTTTATGTGACGTCTCAACACGTCCAGAGGCACAGCGAGCTCGTCGCCACGCTCAGGAAGGTAAACGCACATACTGATATCCTCGTGGTGGTTCTTGGATAAGCAATGCATCTGACCTGTCACACTACTATGATGTCATCGCTTTGTGTCCACTCAGGACAAGAAAGCACAAAAATGGGGTGGGGGTTGGGGGTTAGGGTGTCACTGTGATTACGTTTAGGATTAGGTGTGATGGTGTTTCCACGTAGCAAAGCTATGACATCACTCCAAGGTGATTGGTCACTTGCAACCTTAAACCTGGACTGAATTCAAAATAAATCAAATGAATAAACAAATAATAACAATACAAATCGTGTCAGTTGTTATTATGTATTTGTTTTCCTCGTGAGCAGATGCGTTACTACCGGGCGAACCAGGACATCATGGACAAGGCGTCGATGCTCTATAACCGCTTCAAGAACGCCTTCCTGGTGGGGGAGGGGGAGGAGGTGGTGAGCGCCGCCTTCCTGCGCTCGCTGCTGGAGGAGAAGGAGGAGGAGGAGGCGCAGAGGGTGGAGCGCTGTATGGAGAAGGTGAGGAAGGAGGGGCTGCTGCACGAGGCGAAGAGAAGTATGGGGCAGGTGAACAAGAAGAGGAATAACGGAGGAGAAGATGGAGAGGAGAAAGCTGAAGGTAAAAATAAATAAAAACTAAATCAACTGATTTGTGACAAGAAATTACACAAACTTACAAGAAGTAAAAATATTAAAGACAAGCCTTTGTAGCTTATATTAGAAAATATTTTAAAAGTAAAATTGAGAAGACATAATTTCATAAATAACACTGAAATGTTTACACCACATCTTTTGTTTTTGTATCATTCAATAATTAAAATTATATACAGAAAAAAATTACTTTTTATTTTTGTAAGTTTTATTTTTATTTTTTTATGAAAGCATTAATACTGACATTTTGTGAGGGGCGTTTATTTAAATGCAAAAATGCTGTTGTACATTTTGGTTTTTTGCTGTTTGTTTTGTTTCAGTTCATAATTTTTGTGT